TCCGAACCGCCTTCCTCGAGAGATCGACCTGAGGAACGAATCTTTCGATTCGGTACTCAGTAAAAATATATTTTGCTACAACACAAATACCCAGCTGTTTCTTGTTTTCCACAGCCACCACAACAAATATGTAGACAGTGCTATTCTATTTTTGTTGTGGTCATGCTGCTTCAGTTTACAGAGATCACCCCACCAATCCTTGAAGTCCACTTTTTCTCTATCAAGTTTATCCCACTGCAGCCCAGCAATATTCCACACTTTGTTAGCTCTGGAACATGTGAGTAAGATATGCTCCATATCTTCCAGTTGCTCCCCACACCAGTTGCACACTGCATCAATGTCCACATCCTTTTGTCTCAACCTCAGCTTTGAAGCAATGCAATAATTCCAGCACCTCCATATAAAGTTTTTCACCTTTGGCTTGATTGGTAATCTCCAGGTAGTATGCCACATCCTCTGCATCTCCATGTTACCTCCACTTGTCTCAATTCTGCCTTTTTTGTCCAAATTATGCTGTCTGATCATCAAATATGCTCCTTTGACAGTAAATTCTCCTTTCCTGTCTGGATGCCGAACCAATTTATCCTTTATACCCCTTTGGCTAATATGAATCTTCATGTTATACTCTTCTTCAAAAATTTTGTTGTTGTGGTCGTCATTTTTGTCTTCACCAGATTTTTCATTTCCAAATTCGAACTATAATTTTCATTACAATCGCATACAAGAAAAAATGGAGAGATGGGGACCTTCCAGTATACCGTGCATATAAAATTTTTGTTTAATGTTTAACTTTTACATCACTTGTGCAGTATAGAGTCGTTGACTTAACAAAATATAAAATATATGTACAAAAACTTCTTATGGCATAGATATAAATTTTATTTTAATTTTCATATTTTTTAAATTTCACAAATAATTTTATACAAAATAAAAATTCCTGTGTTGAATTGAACCATGAATTTGTTTAATCATGAAAAATCCCATATTCAGAATACTATGTTGAAAACTTTACCAAAATGATATATTAATTAGGGTAAATTTCTTTTACACCTTAATATATACATGTGTTTCTTTTCACACACAGCCGCATAAAAAAACTTTTTTGTTTAACCACAATACTCACGAAACTATATGCTATATTGAATATCCAAATGAATTTCATAATTAACGATTATCCGATATTTTGTCGTATATATATACATTAACTTTATTCAAATCATAGTTAACCGTTATACGAAACATATATGCTTATTTATTTGTCAGATATACAAATCCAACGCATAATTTTACTTGTGCAAATTTATTTCGCATATATAAATATTGCATATCCAAATTGATAATCGCATATTTTACGATTATTCCACATATTTTTGAATATTTTATGTCTCACATATCCAAATTGATCGCATATTTTAGGATTATGCGACACATTGTCGCATATTTTATGACTTGCATATCCACATCGAACGCATAGTTAACGAGTATGCGATCGTCAATCCAAATCGAATGTCGCATATTTTATGTTATGCGGCGTACTTTTGCATAGTGTACGACTCGCATATCTAAATCCACCGCATAATTTACCATATTCGATAACTTTTCGCATATTCTTTTATTGCATATCTCAAACAAACGTCGCATATTTTATGTTATACAACGTACTTTTGCATAGTTTTCAGGTCACATATCTATATCCACCACATAATTTACCATATGCAAGAACTTTTCGTCTATTCTGTTATCTCATATCCAAATCGAACTGCGCATATTTTATGTTATGCGGTGTATTTTTGTATAGCATACGACTCGCATATCCAAATCTACCGCATAATTTACCATATTCAATAACTTTTTGCATATTCTGTTATCACATATCCAAATCGAATGTCACATATTTTATCTTATGCGTTGTATTTTCGCATAGTTTAGGACTCGCATATCCAAAATACACCGCATAATTTACCATATGCGATAACTTTTCGTATATTCTGTTGTCGCATATACAAATACAATGCCGCATATTATATGTCATGCGATGTATTTTCGCATAATGTACAACTTGCATATCTAAATGTACCGCATAATTTACCATATTCGATAACTTTTCGCATATTCTGTTATCGAATATCTCAAATGAACGTAGTATATGTTGGGTTCTTTTATGAACTTCACCGATATGCACATTTGGATGATGGGGCTTCCTCCAATGGTCGTCCTCTCTAATTTTCATGGCCATTCAAGGTACTTCGGGATTGTATATATTCGATGGGATGTAGATATACATATATCTACATATATATATATTCATCGGGATATATATACATAACCTTAGATCTTCTATTGTATGACCTTTACACAATCTCCAATCAATCTTGGTGGAACGATTAACTGGAACTCCCAAAGCCTCTTGATTTTCTTCTCCTAAGCCTCTCGATTTTATCCAAATTTTCCAAAGAGAATAACTCTCTTCCACACGAATTTTGGAACGAGTAGAATCTGATTTGGGCATGTATATGAGTGTTTTAATGTGTATAATTATGTCCTTGGAGGCTACAGGACTTGGTGTATTTATTGGCTACAATAGGGACCCTAAGGAGTTGCTAATTATGAGCTTCTCAAAATCACACTACAACCTTTCATGACAGTTAATTTGATTCTGTTAAGACCGTGAACAAATACTTATATTTTACAAGGCACCAATAATGTGATCTTTTTTTTCGACACATCGAACAACATTGTTTACAATGTAAAATGAAGGAACGATGTTCGCATAAATAAATGAACTACGAACATACACACTTGACTAAAACACACATCTCATTCAAAATAAAATTATCGGTAATTGTTTGTCCCATTTTTGTTGCGTTTTTTCTTGCTATTTTCCTTTATTTTTCCCCCATATTAGGTCTTTTACTTAGTTTTTATCTCGTTTTGTAGTTTATCGCGTGTTTTACTCTATCTTGGTTTTTCTTGTGTTTTCCGTATGTTTTTCCGGTTTTTCTCCGTTTATGGTGTGTAGGTAGAAAGCTTCGGGAAGATCTAATTTTTGGCAAAAGTCAGTCGAGAAAGCATAAGTAGATAGAAGAGTTCGTCGGTGTCACACAGGAAAAAACGGAACTCAATTCCGAGTTCAGACGAATCCGAACGGGGCCGAAACGTAAAGTCGAGCAAGCTGCGGACCGTTCGAAAGTTGGAAAGCTCTAGAGCATTTTACTATTGTCAAAATCTAGTCATAAAAGCATCATTTAATAGAGGGGTTCGTTAGCGACGCGTAGGAAAAAACAGAACTCAATTCCGAGTTCAGATGAGCCCAAACGAGCCCAAAACGCAAAAGTCGCGCAGCCGAGCCCCGCGCACCGCGGCGCGGCAACCCTCAGCGGCGTGGCACTGCCTTCCTCCGCGCCGCGGCAACCCTCAGCGGCGTGGCATTGCCTTCCTCCACGCCGCGACAACCCTTCGCGGGCCCTCAGAAGCCGCCCAACACGCCCCCACGCCGCGGCACTCCCCCGCACCGTGCAACCTGATACTCCACGCCCTGCACCACGCAGCGGGTACCTCCACGGGCGTTTAGAGACCGCACACTTGCCCGCTTCGCGCTGCGATGGTTCTTCCATGCCGCGACACATGCGCACTTCACGCGGCGTTGTACTTCCTCACGCCGTGTCACCTGCTAGGCTATATATATGGGATCGGGATTGCGATTAAAATTATCTCCCCTTCTGGGAGTGAAACCCTAGGCCTGAGAAAAAAACATGACAACTCCTTTTCTCCTTCTTCTTCTTCTTCTTCTTCTTCTTCATTTTTCCTCCTCTTTTTATCTTTCTCTTCCATTTTTCTTCTTCTTTTTAATAATTAGGGATTAAGCTTTGTAAGTGGATTCAACACGTGAATTTGGATTGATTGTAAGTATTTCTTTCTCTTGTTTAATTCATAAATAATGGTTGAATTGCGAGAAATGAATTATTGTGTTGAATTCAATTTATGTAGCTAATTCCTATTTCTAGGGATAGGGGATGATTGTTCTTGTTTAAATTGTATTTGTCGGGCTTTGATTGTGTCATTCTTATGTGAGTTGATTTAGTTCGGAAATGATGAATTTGTGTCTGATAGTTTGATATAATCGAAGGGTGACACTTCGATCTTGCAATTGGTAACGATTGGATATTGAATTGTCGAGTTAGGGTTTGTTGATTCTATATGATTAGTTGATTAAACACCTTCTAATTGAATTGGCGACTTTTAGAACCGAAAGGGGAGAAGTCATAGACCTAGGCTCGCATGCGATAGATGATTTCGTAACTGAATAGTCTATAGGCTTTGGATTGAAATACGTGCTTGTCGATGACCCGTCCCTTGTTACGAAAAGTTATTGGGATTGGGATAATTGGCATGTGTTGTATACTCGAGCTTGTTCGTCTATGTTCAATCCCTTGTTACGAAGAGTTATTGGGAGAGAACCGCTAGATGTTTAAACGAGAGTGTCAATCTGAAATAGAACGATTAATGTCCCGGTTTTGCGAATAGAACTTGAATTAATTATCCCCGACTCCCTAGCTTCTTCATCTTTGTTTCATTTATATTAGATTATTGTTTTATTTTATTTCTTAGTTAATAATTCATCCAAACTGCTATCTGATTAGAGTGTTAAGGATTTATTTTCTTTTTGTGTGAAATCAATACCGAAGCTAAATTCCAAACCGTCTTCCTTGAGAGATCGACCCGGGGAACGAATCCTTCGATTTGATACTCGGTAAAAATAATAATTTGTGCTACAACAGTAATCACAAAGTCAAGCTTCTAACAGTATACTCCAAGAAAACATGCATAGTTCAAATAGTATCAAAAATCAAATCTCCCTAAATCGTTGTTTGACTTAAAATCCTTCAAACTTCCATTGTGGTGTGGAAGAAGGTAATAGTAAATAAAAAAAAGGGTGATGATTCAGAACCAACTCGACGTTCATTAAGAAAACTACTTCCTCTGATACTGCAACCTATGATATGGCCGCTAAAGCCCAACCATCCTTTATGGAACTCAGCTTTTCTGCACCAATTGACACGACAACCTTCATCAGCCCAACCAAAAGTTTTGTTGCAATTGTTGTTTCCCCGATGGCACATCTGACACAAATTCAAGATACACAACCCACTCCAAATGTCAATACATTTGTTGTTTCACCTTTCTCTTCTCCGCTATCCAAATCCAAAAGGTCTCTATATCGCACTCAGGGGGAGAATCCTAAGAAGAAGAAGAAGATTGATGTCGTTGTTACCCTTATTACCCCTATGCCTGAGAATGAGCATTCATATGATTCTAGTGGCGAGTCTTCTTGTAATACTCGTAAAATAACAAAGTATATAGGTTCAAAACAAGGTTCACTGGAGAAGCTTATTGATGATTTCGTTGAACTTGAGGTTGAAGTCACGAGAGAAACAACTGCTTCTCGTCAAACTCGATGTCTTCGTACAGCTCGTTCTCATTCTGAGGGACAACCGCTTATGTCTGATGTTGTTGCTAAGAAAGATATTGACGATTATAACCTAAAAAATGCTTACTTGAACCATTTTTATTCGGTCTATTTTGAACGTTGTCATGGTCTGGTCTTTTCTCTTATGTCATTTAACCTTGAGCGCCCTATTCTCGTGTCTCATTTTGAGAAAGTGAGTTTTCTTTTTTTATTTAAAGCTTTTATTATTGAAAAGTATGTTCTGTCGGTCGGTCGTTTCTGTCCTAATCTATTTTCGCAGTTTTATGCAAATTTGTGTTCTGGAGTTAATAACGTTCGTTCTCCCCACAGCCATAAGGTTCTTGTTCGAAACCGCATCATTAATTTTTCCCATGGGGTTATCAATGCTTACTTTGGGTTCACAATCAACTCTATTGGTGATGTCCTCGATGATAACCTTGATGAAGTCAAGTACGCGTTAACTGGTGGACGATTGACTAAGTGGATCAACCCTAGTTTCTTTGCAAAAGTCTAACCAACCAAGCGAAACGCACTTAATAAGAAGATTGGTTCATAGAACTAGACTCGCACATCTCATAAACAACGTGTCACTCTTTCATAAGAAGGGCCATCATTCGTGTTTCGTCTTAAAAACAATTTGATGTTGGTTCATTCATTTTTTATGTTGTTGTGATTTTCGTTGGGATCTCCAAACCGCATAAGCTCTTTCCTTTTGCATGTGTCATCTTTCCCCCAGCACTCTGACTAAGGCTACGAGGTTCTGATTTTCATAAAGGCGTTCGATGTCTCCCTTTATTTGGAAAGTTTCCTGGTCCAGCAAATATTCATGTTTGGTGGTTTCGAAAAAAGTTTAGGTGATCACAGTCAGTACTACAAAGTGGTACTATGTGCTTTAAGACAATCTGTCCACGCGGATTCCCCGTGGCTTCGGCATCTAAATCGGAAAAATGGGGAACAAAGTGCAAGTGCAACCAAAGGGAAAGGAAAAGTAATGGTTCATCATGAAGAGCAAGATGAAGAGCAAGAGGAGTTGTTGGCCATTGAAGAGGTCATTGAGGAGGACCCCTAAGACGAGGAAGCTGTTGATGAAGAAAATGACAAATCTTGTGGTTCTGAGAATTGAACTCAAATTTTGTTGTCATGTAACTAAATCACTTATTATGTTTTGTTTGGGTTGCGTATTGATGTGGTTGGGTGGTGGTGATTGACACCTCGGTGTTATTTGCTGTTTAGTTGTGTTTTAGGTGGATTTAAGTTACTACTTCTATGATACTTCTTTGTATATGTTTGCTTGGAGGTACTCTTGTGTAAAAGTGTTCTTCAGGAACAAAATCTCTGATGTTGGTTCTTCATGTGTTTCCTACTTCTGTTTGCTTTGATTTTGACTTATGCAGGATCACTTCACAAGGGGGTTTTCTATTTATTATGCTGAAGAGAGAGATTGTAATAAAATGTTCTCTTACATTAAATTAAAAATCCCAAATAAGTCCTTGATAGTATTTGGCAACACGAATAAGCACTTGAAGATCAAGGGAAGTCTCAATATTTCTAGATACATTCTATATATGTATTTATTAATTTTATTTGGGATGTGACACACACACGGAGTCAAGAATATTCACTTACCTAAGCGAGATGAGTGGCTATTTTAGAAAACGCGCTGAAGATTGTACAAAGGTATTTATTCACAGGCACTCTAGTGTTTACATAGTAATTCAATAAAAGAGAGAAACGAGTAGAGAGCTCATAGAGATTTTGTTGATTAGTTTCTTTTTAGTAATCAAATTAGAGTGTGATCTTCACTCTGATTTCAAGCACACTTTTTGTATTCACTTCTTTGGTGCTGGGGACGAGCACCATTCATTACTCGGAGGGATCCATTTAAGAAAGTCAAGTCCACATTGTGGTCAGAAAAGTAACTAGATAGGTGGAGTACAAAGTAGGTTAGGAAGAGGGAGTCTTTGCTTGTAAAATCCTCATTGTACGATTGGCCAAATATATGTTTAATGAAAGAGTTATGAGTAAGAGTGTGATGCTCTCCTGAAGGTTAATTTTATGTTTAATTGGCGTCTGCAATACATGTGAAAATCTATTGTTTACTGAGAACAAAAAAAAAATTACTACTCACCAAATTTCAGCTTTTATGATCTTCTTCAACTAATTTTTCTTATAGGCATTCCTTTTAATTTTTTATGGGGAGAATACAAAACTATGTAAGATTTAATATATTAGAGATTATAACCAAGAGCTTTTATATATCAGTAGTAAGCCACACATAGTCCTTGTTGTATTACATATCTGCTCAATAGTGTTCCATATATTTAGGTAGTCCATAAATTTGTATTTTATTTAGATCATTTAACTAAGTTTATAGAATAATCAAACAGGTAATAAAAATGCATAATAATGTATTACCCATAATAAATATATATAAAAATAATATTTCCAAACATTTAATTTACTAGAATATAATAAAATAAGCATAATTAGGTGTGCACTTTCTATTAATGAAAAAAATAAACAAAGTGTGTGCAAGTACCAATTTTTGCACCTTCAAGCCTACTTAATCCGTTTACTTGTCTAAAATTCTTTTTTGCTACACTAACTGTTCCCTTATAAAAAATAGTACGTTATGTTGGAATTTGTATTATTTTTGGGACATTACTCATAAAAAAATAGTATGTTTTGTTGCATATTTGTATCATTTTTGAGACATTAATCCCAAAAAATAACATACTTTTTTTGGGATTAATGCCCCAATAATGATACAAAGTGTATCATAATGTACTATTGTAACGTCCCGTTATTTTTATAAGGAAAAATCTCGAATTTTCGAAAGTCAACGTAAATGTATCAAATTTATTTATTGCTTTAAAAACAATTTAACGGGCACTACCCAATCCATACACATATCATCCGGCTTATTATCATCAAAAGCCGTTGGGAACTCATTGCCCTTTCTCAAGACATATACGAGACATAAATCACTCAGAAAAGTCACATAGACATATAATCCAAAGGATACAATATCAATGCTCAACAACAAGCCTCAATATAAAACCATATTGCTCAGAACAATATCCAATCTCAAGTCATACAATATAATTCAATTTCTTAATGACAAAACATAATAACAATAGCGAAAGCAGATAAACAATTCATAATATCCACACAATGACCCCACTCGCCCGTCTTGTGCCACAACCGCCAGCTCAACCTAAAAGGAGAGAAATACTGGGGGTGAGCAAACAACAAGCTCACCGTGGGAATACCATGAAGTATATCAGTATAATGACTTAAAATCATAATCGGGATTTTATTTTAATTTTCATATTTTTTAAATTTCACAAATAATTTTATACAAAATAAAAATTCCTGTGTTGAATTGAACCATGAATTTGTTTAATCATGAAAAATCCCATATTCGGAATACTATGTTAAAAACTTTACCAAAATGATATATTAATTAGGGTAAATTTCTTTTACACCTTAATATATACATGTGTTTCTTTTCACACACAGCCGCATAAAAAAACTTTTTTGTTTAACCACAATACTCACGAAACTATATGCTATATTGAATATCCAAATGAATTTCATAATTAACGATTATCCGATATTTTGTCGTATATATATACATTAACTTTATTCAAATCATAGTTAACCGTTATACGAAACATATATGCTTATTTATTTGTCAGATATACAAATCCAACGCATAATTTTACTTGTGCAAATTTATTTCGCATATATAAATATTGCATATCCAAATTGATAATCGCATATTTTACGATTATTCCACATATTTTTGAATATTTTATGTCTTACATATCCAAATTGATCGCATATTTTAGGATTATGCGACACATTGTCGCATATTTTATGTCTTGCATATCCACATCGAACGCATAGTTAACGAGTATGCGATCGTCAATCCAAATCGAATGTCGCATATTTTATGTTATGCGGCGTACTTTTGCATAGTGTACGACTCGCATATCTAAATCCACCGCATAATTTACCATATTCGATAACTTTTCGCATATTCTTTTATTGCATATCTCAAACAAACGTCGCATATTTTATGTTATACAACGTACTTTTGCATTGTTTTCAGCTCACATATCTATATCCACCGCATAATTTACCATATGCAAGAACTTTTCGTCTATTCTGTTATCTCATATCCAAATCGAACTGCGCATATTTTATGTTATGCGGTGTATTTTCGTATAGCATACGACTCGCATATCCAAATCTACTGCATAATTTTCCATATTCAATAACTTTTTGCATATTCTGTTATCACATATCCAAATCGAATGTCACATATTTTATCTTATGCGTTGTATTTTCGCATAGTTTAGGACTCGCATATCCAAAATACACCGCATAATTTACCATATGCGATAACTTTTCGTATATTCTGTTGTCGCATATACAAATAGAATGCCGCATATTATATGTCATGCGATGTATTTTCGCATAATGTACAACTTGCATATCTAAATGTACCGCATAATTTACCATATTCGATAACTTTTCGCATATTCTGTTATCGAATATCTCAAATGAACGTAGTATATGTTGGGTTCTTTTAGGAACTTCACCGATATGCACATTTGGATGATGGGGCTTCCTCCAATGGTCGTCCTCTCTAATTTTCATGGCCATTCAAGGTACTTCGGGATTGTATATATTCGATGGGATGTAGATATACATATATCTACATATATATATATATTCATCGGGATATATATACATAACCTTAGATCTTCTATTGTATGACCTTTACACAATCTCCAATCAATCTTGGTGGAACGATTAACTGGAACTCCCAAAGCCTCTTGATTTTCTTCTCCTAAGCCTCTCGGTTTTATCCAAATTTTCCAAAGAGAATAACTCTCTTCCACACGAATTTTGGAACGAGTAGAATCTGATTTGGGCATGTATATGAGTGTTTTAATGTGTATTATATATGTCCTTGGAGGCTACAGGACTTGGTGTATTTATAGGCTACAATAGGGACCCTAAGGAGTTGCTAATTATGAGCTTCTCAAAATCACACTACAACCTTTCATGACAGTTAATTTGATTCTGTTAAGACCGTGAACAAATACTTATATTTTACAAGGCACCAATAATGTGATCTTTTTGTTCGACACATCGAACAACATTGTTTACAATGTAAAATGAAGGAACGATGTTCGCATAAATAAATGAACTACAAACATACACACTTGACTAAAAACACACATCTCATTCAATAAAATTATCAGTAATTGTTTGTCCCATTTTTGTTGCGTTTTTCCTTGTTATTTTTCTTTATTTTTCCCCCATATTAGGTCTTTTAGTTAGTTTTTATCTCGTTTTGTAATTTATCGCGTGTTTTACTCTATCTTGGTTTTTCTTGTGTTTTCCGTATGTTTTTCCGGTTTTTCTCCGTTTATGGTGTGTAGGTAGAAAGCTTCGGGAAGATCGAATTTTTGGCAAAAGTCAGTCGAGAAAGCATAAGTAGATAGAAGAGTTCGTCGGCGTCACACAGGAAAAAACGGAACTCAATTCCGAGTTCAGACGAATCCGAACGGGGCCGAAACGTAAAGTCCAGCAAGCTGCGGACCGTTTGAAAGTTGGAAAGCTCTAGAGCATTTTACTATTGTCAAAATCTAGTCATAAAAGCATCATTTAATAGAGGGGTTCGTTAGCGACGCGTAGAAAAAACAGAACTCAATTCCGAGTTCGGATGAGCCCAAACGAGCCCAAAACGCAAAAGTCGCGCAGCCGAGCCCCGCGCACCGCGGCGCGGCAACCCTCAGCGGCGTGGCACTGCCTTCCTCCGCGCCGCGGCAACCCTCAGCGGCGTGGCATTGCCTTCCTCCACGCCGCGACAACCCTTCGCGGGCCCTCAGAAGCCGCCCAACACGCCCCCACGCCGCGGCACTCCCCCGCACCGTGCAACCTGATACTCCACGCCCTGCACCACGCAGCGGGTACCTCCACGGGCGTTTAGAGACCGCACACTTGCCCGCTTCGCGCTGCGATGGTTCTTCCATGCCGCGACACATGCGC